AATTGTTAAATATTTTTAATGCAAACTACCAGTAAATGTGCATAATGAAGACGGTTGATTTTTTTTTCAACATTATTTCTAGTTCATTTATCAGATCGGGTTCGTTATGTCTAAAATAATTTCCAGCTGTCATTGGAACAAAAACAAGGCATGATCAGGATCATACAAAGAAAATTTAGAGTAAAAAATAGGTAAATTATTACAGTTTGTTCATCTGAATAAGTTTTAAAACTCTTTGAGAATCTCAGAGTGAATGACTCGCTCCAATTTCATGTGATTTTTTAATTGGAAACCCATCAGTTTAGTGCAGCAAACAGGCAAAGATCTAACAACATATATGGATCTGATCTTGTTGTAAAGCTTGACAAATGACACTTACGCAATAAATTAACCTTAATGATTAGGAGGAAAATAAACAAAAAAGATTTGTTCTTTCTTAATTGCATTTTTTTCTCATTCAAAATTTACATACAAGGAATAAAAGAAGGTAAACTACATACAACTTACAAGGAAATTGTCTTTTTAGTTTAAAAAAAAAACTGAAAGTTATATAGATAAACCACTTTTGATTTTTAGTGCTATTTCATGTAAAATATTTAATCATTTGAAAAATAAAACATTACCCCACTGCCCTCCAAATTGGTTAATTTTAAGAAATAAAAAAATGGTGTAGGAAACACAGAAACTTAAATGAAAATAAATAATTAATGGTAGTTAAACTGTTCAATATTTTCTTTATTTGGTTTAAAACTGTTGTTTCTTAATCCCATGGGAGAATTTTTTTCTGTTTTGAAATAAATATGGGATAAATCCCACATTTATAAAGAGATGGGAGATTATTTTCTGTATACAAATATATGGGAGATTTTGTCCCATTATAAAGCATTTATGGGATTTTCAAACTTCTATGGGAGAAAAAATCCCACAGAATACCTTTTTCTCCCACAGAATAATGGTGGGATATTGGTTAGGAGAAAAAATCCCACCATTATCCCATGGGATTTCTTGATTTCAGGTGTAATATCTTTTTACCTAGAAGATAATCAGGTGTAAAGTTTGGTTCATGTGTTAAGTTTTAAAAAATCCCATCAGATGATATAAATGGTTTCCACATATCTTTGGAAAAGTGGTTGGCGAAAGTCCGGACAAATGTCGTGTCCGGAGTTAAATGTCGCACTGTTCAAATTATGTTTACTTTTTCACAGTAATTTATTAGTATTTTAAATGAACTGTACTTTAATACTATTAAATGGAATTACAAGTGACAAAACTTGGTCTGTCTTTTTTTCCTCATCATTAGAATGAATGTGGTGTTCATAACAATTGAATTCATAAAAAGAGTGTACTTTTCTTTTTGGATGTATTCTTGACCCACATTTTAAATGTACAAGTCCTTAAATTGAAATAGAGAGAGGTAAAGTACACTCAGTGTAAATATCGAGATCAATGACATGAAAAATTGTGTCAGAGTACATCCAGGAATCAAACTGATTTAAAAATACACACACTATAAAAGCAAAAATAATCGGGGGGGGGGGTTAATTTTTTTTTATCAATGAAATTAAATCTCGCAGGAAATTTTTCATAGGACGAGATATTGAATAACATTACTTTCAAAATAACTAAATTAAATGGTCACAAAAGTATTTTATATGAAAAATCAACAAAGTTTTATCCCCACAAAAATTTGTGCTTTTACAGTTGTTGAACTTTAGGTATCTGGAATACCAGTAATTCAAATACCATGGATATGTAAAATTTATTGAAGTTCCAACAACTTATTCTTTAAGTATTTTGCCACAAAATGATTGGTAGATTAGGAAGCTTTGCCTCCATCCCATCAAGTTCAAGATAATCAGATTTGACAGTTTATTGTCAGCCTAAGTTCCGAAACCTGTCATGAAGAAATACTCAAGGAATGATAACATGAAAAAGTACACCTATTGAAAACTTTAAAATACAGAGTGCATCAGTTATACATGTTTATTTCTTAATCTATGGTACAAAACAGTGGGTCTATGTCTCAAAATCAAAGTTGATAGCCCATGAAAGCTTTCATCATAGATTGAACTATTGCAATATAAACTTTTTGAACCTAATTTTCTACCATCAATTGCTGAAAATGCATTGATGTCAAAAAGTTCCTTTATTACTTTTTTCACATCCTCTGTATATGATGGAAGGTGATGGAATCCTTTCCTGGCTGTAATGCCACACATATGATCGAAATGTTTAGCAGCGTTTATCAAATGAGGAAACTCTTGAGAATGGGCGATGATGCTCTCCTTTGTCTGGAAACCTGAACATGTTGCTTTACTATCCCTGTTGAGTAGTTCTACAAACTCATCTAAGGCTAAATTATTGTTTACACCTCCTTGTAAGTTCACAAACCTGTTCGCCTTTAAACGTTCTGTCTGTTCCTCATTCAGGAGTCCCTCAGTCATAGAGATGAGATGAATGGAACCAATTGCATACTTAGTTTTATTTGTCTTGTTGTAAATTGGTAGCTCAAATTTACAAGATTTTATGCTTCTCTCACCATCTGCCATGTCAACGGCAGTATCAAGATTTTTGTGCAGTATCACCAACTTGAACAGTAACATCAGATACCCATTCAGCTCATCGCTAACTTTCACTGGTTTTGAAGACGGCATTTTAATGTCAACATCATGCACATGCTTTTCATGTGATTTTAAACTACCTACGAATTTGTAAGATTTTTCGCAGTGATGACAGTACACACGGCCATTTTCCAGATTAGCTATCCAATAATTTTCCGGATGCTGAATGTCTGTAACAACTGTCCGAAGTTTGTCCATTATGTCAGTACATTCTTCAAAGAAGTACTTATCTACAACTTTGGCACAAACATCTTCAATCCATGTAATCTTCTCTTCACTTGATGCATTCTGAAAATCTTTTGGAAGAGGAATAGGTTCATCCAAATCTTGAATGTTAAATTCCTTTAGAAAAAGCGAGCAGCAAATTGCATCCAAGATGCAGTAGTACAACATTTTGTAAGCTCTGTATGCGTTTTTTACTTCCCCCTTAACATTCCTATAATTCATCAGGTTTCGAAAGTAGTATGCTGTGCCCCTGTCACTCTCTGAGTCTGTCTTGTATGTTAGTTTACATATTGCCTTTAAAAAAATAAGTAATAATACTCACATACCTTTCAAACATCAATCACAAACAATTACATTAACCTGATTAGGTAAATCACTGAAGCCATCATTTGAGAGATTAAATAAAGCATGACTTAGTGAATTAACAAAATATTACCATAAAAAAATTATGAAATTACATGTACGTGGAATACATAGTCTATACTTACTTCAAGGAAGTTCATCAACCTATGGAAATCTTCCATTTTGGAAATGAAACCTTCTAGTCTGTGCATTGGAGTTTCACCATTGAGCATGGCTTCTTGAGCGCTTTGGATCCTTTCATCTGTTAATCGATCACCTGTATTAAGAGAGAAAAGTTCAGAAATACAGCAAAAGCTGTCTTCAAGAACCTGTAATAAGCATTGTCTATCACGATTACTTTGCAATTTTCAGGGCAACCCAGCCTGCCATTCATGTAAAGCAATACTTCTAGTGTCAGTACTAAGGAATTATACACAAAATCTGTTTCTCCAATTTAAATTGTCATGCTGTTCTTATTGGCAAATGAATCACTTGAATCTGTTATAAGAATGGTATGCCTTTAGGGTACTTTGTTTAATCTCAGATTGTCACCAATTTTGTAGCAAAATCTTACCACCAAAAAACAAGGGTTCAACTATCTCTTGATTTATCCGAGGAACATATTTCCTTTGCAGATTTGAAAGTAGTTCTATAACATCTGCTGTTTTTGTCTCGTTGCAATCAAAAAGTCCAACAGGAAACTGAAAAACAAAAATAGATGAAAAGTTCCATATCACACTCGAAACTTAAATGAATATATAAACTTAGTAATCAGGTTTGCATACAATTTGACTTTGACAGTGATATTGTGATGCATCTTTTCATTTATATGAAAACTGCTAAGGTTAATTTAATTGACTGATGTTTGTTGTTTAATGTCCCCTTGAGAATTTTTCACTCATATGGAGCACCACCACTTGCAGTCGGAGAGCTGCAAATTTTGTCCTATACTTGGCACTCAGGGCCATTGAGCAGGGAGGATTGACTCCTTACTTTGCAACTTCTAGAGCAGACTCTCTAACCAATGTGCCAGGATAATTTGAAATAGCACAAAAATTATAGGTACCTGTTGGGTCTTTTTTCCTGCATGTTCACTGTATTTGTGAATAAAGTGTTTTGGATATATGTTGCCTAACAGATCAGATAATTGATCAATGTTCCTGATGACCGATGTAGCAACAATAAAAGTGAGCTCTCTTCTAAGCTGAACTTGCTCTTCCACTGATGGTACAAACTTCTCAACTGGAACATCTTCTAGTGCAAAATTCTGGGCTGTAGTTATAGGAGATATCTGTACTCTATCCACAACTAACACCACGTTGAACAGATGAATTGAGATTGTTTGGTTTAGCGAAGTCCTGAAGTGAAGAGTTGAAAATGTATATTTTTTTAAAAAGAAATTCTACATGTATCAGAGTGCCAAGTAAGTAGGGGGCTAAGGAATACATTGTAACATTCACATGAACTGGTCAACATTAATACATGTACTGTACATGTAAATGTTCTTGCCTGCAGTGAATAAATGCAGTTATATATCATTAGCAATCAATGCTACTTGTGTATACAGGTGATAATCTTAATTATTACTTAAAGGGGCTGGGTGCATGGTTGTGTCCATTTTTAGACTACTTTGATCTCCTTCAGAAGAAGAACTCCATATAAAGATGTAACAAAATAATCAAACTTTAAAACTAAAATTTATGAAATTTTTCTTTACCAAATGATGGTTGACAAATCTAAAAAAAAAATAAAAAAGTTATATCTGTTGGTTAATTTGTTGACCCCCTGGCCTCTTTAAACAAAGTACCATTCCTACCTAAATGAAGGCAAAATTTTCTTGTCCCAATTATCTCCAACTATTTGATATTTCAAGCATCCCTCCCTGCCTTGCTCCCAGTCCTCTTTCAGCTTGAGAATGGACTTATCTAAGTCACCTTTCCATGAGGCCAGCTTGTTGTGGATTGACTTGCTTGTTACTGTAATGCCACATTTTGCTAATCTGTCAATGTCCTAAAATTAAAAAAAAATGATCATAAAATATAATTCTTCACCTGTGATATACAGGATAGCACTTCAACCTTCTTAACCACCAATTCCTACATACTGGTATTTTTTATTTCCTATATTTTTACATTTCATTTTAATATTGATTCCTTTACATGTATTTCATTTTTGCTTTACTACTAAAATATCTACCCTCTGAGTGCATCCTCCATGTGCCAAAATGAAAGCTATCTGGTAATGAAGAGATGACATCTCAGCACTACGACCATGAAGTACAGATGCCACTGAATGCAGTATATGAGCAAACTTCTTGCCTTCAACTTTGACGGGAACATCACATACAGCTGATGTTAACACTTGAAGAATGCTAGGAGCTCTTAACTGTAACTCCTTATGAAACATATCCCACGAAAATTCCAGAATACTCTCATTGTCTTTTCTCTGTAAAATGCTTCCCGAGTTTTTTCTGCAAAGTCCCTTGGATTCATTTGCAATTATAAGAGAGGCAGCATTTACAATATCTTCCTTGTTTGTTTCTCTAAGGATGGATATAATGGACTTGGCAGCTTTTCCAGATGACCTTTCCTGTACAATAGCCCTGCATATTTTCTTTTCCTGTTCATTCCTTACAAGTTCTTTCCGTGTACCACTGGGGTATGCAATGGAGATCTGGAGATTAGAATTTTAAAAAACTCAGAAAATGGTGGGAGGTTAACATTTTTTTCCATAACCAATATTATGTTACCCGGTATTATTACTTCAAAAAGATATTAAAATGTTTCTCAAAGAGTAGATGATATACATGTATATTAAATATAAATCTCAAAAAAATGAGCTGCGTTTAATTTTTCTTAAGATTTGTATAAAAGTCAATAGATCGGATATTACAAGTGTACTTTTTTAATCATATCATCACAAATAACAGTGGCGGATCCAGGAATTTCATAACGGTGGGTGGTCTGGGGGTCTGCACTAAAGCCCCCAGTGGTTCTAGGGCAAGGCCCTGATGGGGGTCCGGGGGAATCTGACAAATTTTTACAAATAAGAGATGTTTTTCCTTGATTTTAGGATAATGGACATACAAGTTTTACACACAAAAAATTCAAACGGGGGGGGGGGGGGGGGGGGTCAGGGTTTGGTTAACACCTCCGGTGAGGCTGTCCTGGATCCGCCTTTGAATAACAATAACTAGTCTAATTAAATCACTAACTAAGGGAATGAGAAGATAACGGAAGCTATTCAAGCTAAAAAAAAAGTAAATTCAATTGTAGAACAAAAATAACAGAGCAGAGCAAACATGGTCCTCTGAAAACTAAGTAGAAATAACTATAACAAGAATAACTAGGGCTAATTGTAACGGGGACCGTTACAGATGTTCCCCAAACGCTCCCCAACTCCCTTTTGGTGCCATATTTCCTTAAGCTCTATTAAATAAGACATACTTTGTGCAATTTAGACTTAAACAACGTTTTCCCAGAAGACTACAAAATATATTTAAATTTTAGCATGACATGCGAGCTCATGTGAATGCATGTGGGTAATGATCATATCATCTTTTCTACACTATGTATATATATTCAAATAGACTTAATATCACAGCATTTAATCCAGAAGTATTAAAAAATACACTTATTCAAGCATATTTTAATTTTACTCATTTCACGTGCACACACGTGCAAGCATGTGCATGATGACCATACCTTCTTGTAGGGGTCCATTATGTCTATCAATATTCTAAATACCATCCTATTTCGTTGAAAACCAAGGGAGTTATAACCATTTAAAATTTAAGCCAATCAGATTTCAGCGCATGTGCATGCGTGTGATTCAATGACAATTGTTATATATCATATTGTAGGACATTCTATTGTATGCTTATGTTTTAAATTTCGTAGCATTTCGTCAACAAACGGAAAAGATATTGAGATTTTTGTTTCAGCCAATCAGAGTGAGGAACACATGCACGCACGTGCATGATGACCACACCATCTTGTTGGAGACTATTATGTCTGTCTATGTTCTAAATCCCATCCGGTTTGGTTAAAAAACAAGGGAGTTATAGCAATTTAAAGTTTAAGCCAATCAGATTGCAGCGCACGTGCATGCGCATGTTTTCACAACAACTGTTATATATAATTTTGTAGGACATCCTAATGTATGACTATGTTTAAAATTTCAAAGCATTTCATCAAAAATTGAGAAAGATATTGCGATTTCTGTTTCAGCCAATCACAGCAAAGCACACGTGCACGCACGTGCATGCATGTGCAATACAATTACTCCACCTTGTAGGAGTCCATTATGTCTGTCTATGTTCTAAATCCCATACTGTTTGGTTGAAAAACAAAGGAGTTATAGCCATTTAAAGTTTAAGCCAATCAGATTGCAGTGCACGTGCATGCGCGTGTTTACATGACAATTGTTATATATCATATTGTAGTACATCCTAAAGTATGCCTATGTTTTAAATTTCATAGCATTTCGTCAAAAAACAGAAAAGATATTGAGCTTTTTGTTTCAGCCAATCAGAGCAAAGCACACGTGCATGCGCGTGAGTTCGTGGTAATTTGACAGTGTCACATTATCTACAGTATTAATATATCTTTATATGATGATTTTCAAATCATTTCATCGAAAAATGTAAAAGTAATAGCTATATTAAGTATATTAGTCAATTCACTCATTTCACGCGCACGCACGTGCATGCGTATGCGCGCAAAATGACCTTCGTTCCGCACACCTACACTACACACCTATTAACCCTAAAAAGGTTTTAGGTCAGTTGGGTGAACAGTTTCTGAGAACACTCGCGGTCAAAAAAAGTACCGGAGAAGAAATAAGAAAAAAAATAATAATAATAAGAAACAGAGTAAAAACAATATGTTCCCAAACTCCGTTTGGGGAACATAACAAATGTTTAGTGAACATGTGTAACAGTAACGATCAACTGTTTGGTAATTTTTGAAACACTTCAATACTAAATCAATTTCTATGTGAACCTCAATTGACCCATCTAATGGTGAGGCATGAAAGTCTCCAAGTTGTTTACTTCCAAAATCTAAAGATCGCTTAGATCCCTTCGATTTTGCACTACTAGATGCAATTTCTAGAAAACATATATAAAGTACAGAAGTATAAAGTGATATTAAAATACTGTAGTGAAATATTACTTAAAACTGCATCATTTTTATTGATCATCTACAATTTCAGACTTTTTATTCAATAAAAAAACAGATGTTAAATTTTTAACAATCAGTGAATCTACCTGGCAACGCACTCCACAATAGGGTTGCAGGGGATACTATCTCATTCATTGATATACATGTAAATTACCGAATTCAATTTTATACAATACCTCTCAATGATCATTCATAACTATTGGCACATACCTTGTTTTGTCTTTGGTGCAATGGGGACAGTGAGAGGTTGAGGCAGCTGTGAATTGAATATGATAACAAATGTTTAAAACACAAGTCAGAATGAAATATGATTTTTGCATTATTATGACATATGAAGTGAAGTATGAATGATTCCTCGTGTAGCGATATTAAAAAAACAAAGGAGCGGATCTGATTTTAATCATTTTCTAATTGCATGTAGTTTGATATATATATATGTATACCTATAAAAAGAAACAGGTGATTTCCTTATAAGTTCTTAAGTCGCCGCCTAGGCGTTGGTAAGGCAGCTATGGCTCATTGTAGGAAGTAGTTGACAACACAGTTGTGTATTTATTTTTCGTAAACCGTTATTCTAGAACATGAAAGCTATTTTAGCTAATTTATTTAAAATATCTTGATCCCCCCAAAAGATATAATAGGTATTGGGTATTGAAGTGGATTAATGTAAATTGTAGTATTAACAAGATTAACTGTTTCCAAAAAAAAAAAAACATAATGAATTGAACAAATAATGAGCAAGTAATTTATTTACCTCATTTTCATCTTTATTGGCCTGAGGATTCACTTTCACATCCTGAAATTCTAGTGATCTCAGTACAGTCTTTGTTTTATCAGCATCACCTATATTGGTAATTTCTTTAAAGGGTGCTATATGGACAGGTATATACTTCACAGCTTCTATATTAAATGTCTTGTCTTTCTTTGCTGACTGCGTTACCACTGGACTTCGTAGCATCCGTTTCGTAATAAACTTTCTTCTGGGAGAAGGTAGCTGTAGCAGATGTGCTTCATTAATTTTACTAGCCATGCTACATATGTTTGCTTTTATGTTTTCGTTTTTCTGTTCAGATTTTAACACTCTGTCCACACTTCTATAACATTTCAGGCACACGGCACTGTTGCTTGAAAAGTTGATACCAGTTATTTTAAAAACATTTTCTACCCTCTCAGAGGTAAACCTGAGTTTCCTGTCAAAATGTTTATGTAGTATGACCTCACCGTTGTCTTTCTTTTCATACTGAATAAACGAAAACCCACAGAGAACACAAATGTCACTGAGAGCACATGTTTTCGTCGGTGTAACAGGCGCCGCCATTTTCTACTTTCGTTTTAAGTCTTCATTCGTATTGCATTGGGAGTTATTAATGAAAATTTGAATTCCGAAGAATTTACAGAGTCGCGCAAGCGGTCGTTTGATTGGATAATACAAAGTTCACCAGGAGGTGACCTCCAACGGGGTTTCTTCAGATCCTCGTGTAGCGACAATAAAAAAACAAAGGAGCGGATCGAGGATCTGATTTTAATCAGATTGCAATAGCAACATCGTTTATCGAAATCAAAAACCGATGATCTATTTTATCATGTTTATGTATCTTAGTGTAGTCTACTTGTGTGCCAAGTAAAATTGAAATCAGATCAAAATTATAGGAGGAGTAGCGTTTTATAGGAATTTCAGAGAAAATTCTATTTTTAGTAACCATGGCAACACCATTCATCAAAATCAAACACTGATGCACTATTTTATGTACCTTAGTGTAGTCTACTTGTGTGTTAAGTTATATTAAAATCAGACCAAAACTGTAGGAGGAGTAGCATTTAAAAGGATTTTCACAGAAAATTCTATTTTTAGTAACCATGGCAACACCATTCATCGAAATCAAAAACCGATGCACTATTTAATGTGTCTTAGTGTAGTCTACTTGTGTGCCAAGTTATATTGAAATCAGATCAAAACTGCAGAAGGAGTAGCATTTTAAAGAAATTTTACAGAAAATTCTATTTTTAGTAACCATGGCAACACCGTTCATCGAAATCAAAAACCGATGCACTATTTTATGTATCTTAGTGTAGTTGACTTGTGTGCCATGTTTTATTAAAATCAGACCAAAACTGTAGGAGGAGTAGCGTTTTGAAAAATTGTTTACAGACAGACGGACGGACGACGGACACCTTACCATCGCATAAGCTCTTCTGGTCTCTGACCAGTAGAGCTAAAAACCGATGCACTATTATATGTAAATTAAAGTAGTTTACTTGTGTGCCAAGTGATAATGAAATCAGACCAAAACTGTAGAAGGAGTAGCGTTTTAAAGGAATTTCACAGAAAATTCTATTTTTAGTAACCATGGCAACATCGTTCATCGAAATCAAAAACCGATGCACTATATTATGTATCTTGGTGTAGTCTACTTGTATGCCAAGTAATAATGAAATCAGACTAAAACTTTAGAAGGAGTAGCGTTTTAAAGGAATTCTCAGAAAATTCTATTTTTAGTAACCATGGCATCACCGTTCATCAAAATCAAAAACCGAGGCACTATTTTATGCATCTTATTGTAGTCTACTTGTGTGCCAAGTGATATTGAAATGAGACTAAAACTGTAGAAGGAGTAGCGTTTTAAAGGAATTTCACAGAAAATTCTATTTTTAGTAACCATGGCAACTTCGTTCATCGAAATAAAAAACCGATGCACTATTTTATGTATCTTAGTGTAGTCTACTTGTGTGCCAATTAATATTGAAATCAGACCAAAGCTGTAGAAGGAGTAGCGTTTTAAAGGAATTTCTCAGAAAATTCTATTTTTAGTAACCATGGCAACACCGTTCATCGAAATCAAAAACCGATGAACTATTTTATGTATCTTAGTGTAGTCTACTTGTGTGCCAAGTGATATTGACTCAGAAAATTCTATTTTTAGTAACCATGGTATCACCGTTCATCAAAATCAAAAACCGATGCACTATTTTATGTATCTTAGTGTAGTCTAATTGTGTGCCAAGTGATATTGAAATCAGACCAAAACTGTAGAAGGAGTAGTGTTATAAAGGAATATCTCAGAAAATTCTATTTTTAGTAACCATGGCAACACCGTTCATCGAAATCAAAAACCGATGCACTATTTTATGTATCTTAGTGTAGTCTACTTGTGTGCCAAGTTATATTGAAATCAGACTAAAATTGTAGGAGGAGTAGCGATTTTGAAAAATTGTTTACGGACAGACAGACGGACGGACGCCGGACGCATTACTATCGCATAAGCTCTTCTGGTCTCTGACCAGTAGAGCTAAAAATGTGTCCAGTCGTGAAGGAAATTTAAATTGGTCGAAAATTTTATGATCACCAAACGATCGTGTCCACTAACCAATAGTAATGTAGTAAGACATGGCTAAATTAGATGCTAGTTTTGTCAAAGCCTCCAACTACAATGTTAATACAATGGAAAGCATCATCATAAGCCAAAATAACTGTTGAATGGATTAATTCAAAATCTGAAGCAGAACAGTGTGCATCAATAACAAAAGCGATGAAAAGAAACACAAAGGTTTTAAACGAGGAAATCAAATTGCAGACAACAGTTACATGTATATATTTTAGGTATTGTTCTCGTATCTGTTTTTACCACATGCAATCGATGATGCTACATGTACATCTCATGTTTTAAAATTTCTCTGCGTTGTTTTAAAAGATAAGTATGTCCAAGTCGTAAAGTATATTTTCATCGGAGGAAAATTGTATGATCTTACAACATAAATTTATAACTGTCAGTCGTGTCCACCAATGTAATGTAGACTTATGGCTAAATTTGATGCTGGTCTTGTCAAAGCCCCCAACTTCATTGTTTATACAATGTAAAGCATCATTACGTTCCAAAATAATTATACTGCTGAAAGGATTATTTCAAAATCTGAAGCAGAACAGTGTTCATTAATAAAAATCTGATTAAAATCAGATCCTTTGATCCGCTCACATAGATCGCTACACAAGAATCTGAAGAAACCCCATTTAGGGTCATCTGATGTTCACTTCCGAGAATTTAGAACTATCTCGGAATTCAGTTACAGAGGTGAAAGCCCGATGATACACGAACGAAAAAACGTGACCTAGTTTCTGTAGTCTACCAAGAGAACAACCACAGTCTTTTCTGTTCAGATATATAATAAGTACTTGCTTTAAATTTGGTTTTTATTTAGCTCTTTTTTTGTACGAAACGATAAGATCTCCTCTGCGGCTACTTTCTCTTCTACATTTCATTTTTCCGAATGTCGCTAAAGTACGAAATTTTAATGAATATTTTTTTTTAAAAAGGTCACCAGGAGCATCGTCGCAAACCACTGCCAAAATGTACGGCTTGAGACGATGCACCAAGAGATGACCCTGAATGGGCTTTCTTCAGATCCTTGTGTAGCGATCTATGTGAGCAGATAAAAGGATCTGGTTTTAAACAGATTGCATTAATAACAAAATCCAGTAAAAGAAATACATGTACAAAGGTTTTAAACGAGGTGTAGGAGACAAAAATTCAAATTAACTCATCTACAACAAATGAGAGAGAGAGAGAGAGAAATGTACATTAATGAAAAACCAAAAGAGATATCAACTAAATTCTGCCATAATTGAAAAATAAAATATCATGGTCTATGGAGTGACAGGAATTGTGTTCCAAAAAGAATTCGAAAAACTTCCGTCTGACATTAAAAAGCAAAAATTAAACATCTCTCCTGAGAAATATTACGTGACCCAGACTCTTACTAATAATTTCCTCACTTTAATGGAAAAACGACGGAGTATTACAAGAACCCTTAAGACAACTAGAAAAGATCTGGACACCCTCTGGAAAGAGAAGATTGTTTCGTATAACGATGAAATATTTAAAAAGCATACGTATAACTATAATTTGAGTTTTTTTGTCAATTTCCATTTTATATTGTTCAATAACATTATATCAGGTTTTTTTTGTATGAGGACCATAGCAATTAATGAATGCAAATAAAAATATGCATATGTTGTAAATCCTTTAGACAACATATAAATAAAAGCATGACGTGGAAACTCTTACCAATAATTCCATCACTTTAATGGAAAAAAAATACAAGAATCCCTTAGACTGGGGCGGAAAAATCCCTAAAACCTCTAGAAATGATAGGAAAACATTTTAAGCACATGTGGACAGCATCTGGAAAGGACAGATTGTTTCCTGAATGCATTCATGAAATATTTACAGTACATATAAATGAATCTATTTTGAGTTTTAATTTTACTGTTCATCTAATACGGTTCAATAACAAGGAATCTGTGAGCGAATGCTCACTAGTAATACCCCCGCTCTGATACGAATGTATGCTTTTAAGTGAATAATTATACACGTGTTAAGTTAATGAAATGTAACTTTTTAAGTATTTATTTTCATTTAAGGTAAATTCTTTATCATCATTAAAGTTTATGCAGAAAGTATCTGTAAAAATACATAGAAACCAAAGCATCTTGTTAGAACTATATATATATATACCGATATTGTGCTGAGAAAAATGCGACGAAAATTTGTTATGTATAAAACAGACAGACGGACGGATTAACAGGAAGTTGACATCGGATTTGAACAAAAATGAATCCCACCGTATGACATGCCTTGGCAAAGATTGTGCTAAAATTTCAGTCATCTGCGATGAACGGTTGCTGAGAAAAATGCGACGAAAACAGAAAAATGCGACGAAAATTTGTTATGTATAAAACAGACAGACGGACGGATAAACAGGAAGTTGACATCGGATTTGAACAAAAATGATTCCCACCGTATGACATGCCTTGGCAAAGATTGTGCTAAAATTTCAGTCATCTGCGATGAACGGTTGCTGAGAAAAATGCGACGAAAACAGAAAAATGCGACGAAAATTTGTTATGTATAAAACAGACAGACGGACGGATAAACAGGAAGTTGACATCAGATTTGAACAAAAATGAATCCCACCGTATGACATGCCTTGGCAAAGATTGTGCTAAAATTTCAGTCATCTGCGATGAACAGTTGCTGAGAAAAATGTGACGAAAATTTGTTATGTATAAAACAGACAGACGGACGGATTAACAGGAAGTTGACATCGGATTTGAACAACAAGAGGCCCACGGGCCACATCGCTCACCTGAGAAGCTTTGACCATTCTGTTCTTTACCAGATTTCCCCCTTGTTATACATAAT